TGCAGGAATTTCGTGTCCTGGGCCTCTAGTAATAGTGTAATTGAGTATTCCTTTTCATCCAGCCTTGCATCCCAAAACAATTAGATTAATGAAGGCAGGAAGGGACCTTCTTTATGTTATTTCTTATTGTGTCAGATTTGTTACAAACCATTGGTATATAGGGAATGATATTTAAATAGAAAGACATACAGTTATATTGCTATGGATATAATTTTAATTACATTGAACATGCTGATGATAATCATGTTTCTGTTTTATTGTTGGTGTTGCTGTCAACATAACTGCTGTGTTCATAAATCAAGCCCATCTGGTGTTGCTCAGTGGTTGAGCATCGACCCAGGAACCAGGAGGTCACCAGTTTGATTCCAGGTAAGGGCCCATGCCTGGGTTGTGGGCTTAATTCCCAGTATGGGGTGAGCAGAATGCAGTGGATCACTGATGTTTCTCTCTCATTGATGCTTCTATCTCTCTATCCCTCTTCTTTCCTTTTTCTCTAAAAGTTATTAAAAACATATTTAAAAATCAATAAATCAAAAGGATATTGTTAGCATTTATGTGAACTCTTTTGACAAATTTTAACCAACAATTCTTCTCACATTCTGTTTTGTTACTAAGATGTATTCAGATACCTACCACAATGTCTGTTTTCTATCTACACCACCACACTCTAACCACATTACTTCCTGTGCCCTGTGCTATTTTCAGTCCAGAAAAGGTTAAAAATCATAGTTCCAAAGTCAGAGAACTTCTTTCCAACAGGAGATGTGGGGACTAAAGGGAACACAGAGCCCTGAGGAGAATGTATTATTCCCTGGGCCTCAGAACTTAATATGCTGGGATGTGGATCACAGCACCATGCTTAGTTCTGGAGATGGACGTTAAGTGATGCGAGAAGGAGCATGGGTCATTCTGGTTTCCTATTGGCCTGGCAAGTTCTGCTTTCCTCACTCGTGTCTCTCCACATTAAATTTAATGTCTCAGAGGAAGTTCCCAGGAGACCAGCGCCACTCCCCCAGCCCTCCCAGCCCCTCTTGGGCTTCTGACTTCCTCAAACATTTTCCTGATTAATATTTTTATAATCTCTTCACAGACAAGTTCAAAGACTTTAGGCCCCACTTGTAGCTGTTATCTTCAAATTGTAGATTGGTCCCAGGCTTTATAGCTCTAAGCAGCCCTCCCTCAACCTACTCATAAAATGTATACCATATGTTGTGGTTTGAGTTTTGAAAGAAAGGGATATCTTGGGAGCTAAAAGGTGAGATCTGATAAATATCCAGCTTTCATACCCCTTATTAACAAAAAGATTTTGTTCTTCTCATTGCAAGCTCGGCACCTCATAAAACATCTCACACGGGGTCTAAAGTGAACACAGTAGTTCTCTGGGGCTTAGGATGTGGGCTCAGATCAGAGATTCAAAGGGAGGCAAGAGTAAAATGATGAATATGGGGTTGTGGGAGGCACACATCCTACCCTGTCCATGTGCACTACACATAAAAAACTCCATGTGGAATCCATCTCGGAGAACCCAGATGGCAGCATAGGTAAACACCAGAGATTGTTGCCGCAAACAACCACTTCAAAAATACAACTAAAAGACGGAACGGACATCACCCAGAACCACAGGAAGGCTGGCTGAGGAGAGATTCTTCAACTAGAAGGAAAGAGAACAGCATACCAAGGCTCAGAGGAGGCGCAGTGTGGAAAATACAAAGGTACGGAGGTGCACGGGGAGCTGGCTGGTGGCTGAGGGCGCGGTTGTCGTTTTCAATCAGGAGGGAGTCTCAGACTCTGAGCTCCAGATCCGGGCAAGTATCTAGGGACTCAGACTCAAACGGGAGAAGCGGGATTGTCTGGCATCAGTCGGAACGTGAGGGCAGCTTTCTCTCCGAGGTTTGCAGCGGTTGCTGGGGTTCTGAGAAGCAGAGCCTCTGGGAATGGGACTGAGAGCAGTCATAACTGCTCCCTCCACCCGCCCTGTTGATCCCCTGCGACCCGACCTGCCCAAGCCCTGCGTAGAGCCATTTGCCGGATAGCCTCAGGCAAAGGCTAGATTAGCACCTCTCTGGAGGACAGAAGTTTTCCCACTGCAGACACAGCTGATTCTCACAGCCAGTCGGCCTGGTGGTCAAATCCCTCTAGTATTAACTACAACAATCAAGGCTTAACTAGAACAAGACTGCGCACAAAGACCACAAGGGGATGCACCAAGAAAGCATAAAAAATGCGGAGACAAAAAAACATGACAGAAATGGAGGATATAGAGCTAAAAAACACACTTTTGAGGGCTTTCAATAATTTGCTAGAAACTGCCGATAAACTTGATGAGAGCCTCAAGAAATCTAATGAGACCGTCGATGTTGTGATAAAGAACCAACTAGAAATTAAGCATACACTGACTGAAATAAAGAATATTATACAGACACACAACAGCAGACCAGAGGAGCGCAAGAATCAAGTCAAAGATTTGAAATGCGAAGAAGCAAAAAACACCCAACCGGAAAAGCAAAATGAAAAAAGAATCCGAAAATACGAAGATAGTGTAAGGAGCCTCTGGGACAGTTTCAAACGCACCAAGATCAGAATTATAGGGGTACCAGAAGATGAGAGAGAGCAAGATATTGAAAACCTATTTGAAGAAATAATGACAGAAAACTTCCCCCACCTGGTGAAAGAAATAGACTTACAGGTCCAAGAAGCACAGAGAACCCCAAACAAAAGGAATCCAAAGAGGACCACACCAAGACACATCATAATTAAAATGCCAAGAGCAAAAGACAAAGAGCAAGAGAAAGAGACTCAATTACCTACAAGGGAATACGCATACGACTGTCAGCTGATTTCTCAACAGAAACTTTGCAGGCCAGAAGGGAATGGCAAGAAATATTCAAAGTGATAAATACCAAGAACCTACAACCAAGAGTACTTTATCCAGCAAAGCTATCATTCAGAATTGAAGGTCAGGTAAAGAGCTTCACAGATAAGGAAAAGCTAAAGGAGTTCATCACCACTAAACCAGTATTATATGAAATGCTGAAAGGTATCCTTTAAGAAGAGGAAAAAGAAGAAAAAGGTAAAGATACAAATTATGAACAACAAACATGCATCTATCAACAAGTGAATCTAAGAATCAAGTGAATAAATAATCTGATGTACAGAATGAACTGGTGATTATAATGAATCAGGGAAATAGAAAGGGAATGGACTGACTATTCTTGGGGGGGAACGGGGAGTGGGAGATTCGGGAAGAGACTGGACAAAAATCGTGCACCTATGGATGAGGATAGTGGGTGGGGAGTGATGGCAGAGGGTGGGGCGGGAACTGGGAGGAGGGGAGTTATGGGGGGAAAAAAAGAGGAACAAATGTGATCTGAACAATAAAGATTTAATAAAAAAAAAAAACTCCATGTGTGGAGTCCTCCACTCCTCTTCAACTGTCAAGAAGTTTTGTAGATAAAATATAGACCTCACCAAAAATTACTCTACTGTATATCTCTGCATTTACCACCAGACCCCAAATCATCCTGTTCTCTTTTATCCACTGTGAGAATGGAAAGAGGGACAAACACTTGAAAAAAAATATCTGGCTGTTTGTTATGGCATAAGATACATTGACCTAAAAACCAGTAAATCTACATATACTACTTAATCATGAGCAAGAAATTGTCTGTATTGCAGAAGACTGGACTGGGATCCCACCAAGGCCTGCATGAACATTCACTGCAGATTCAACTCCCTGCCCTTTGACTGCGGGGAGAGGAGGAAGAACAGGCTTGTATTCAGTCCTGGGGACTGCCCTAGTCTGTCAACCCACTGGAGAGCGAGGCCAATAAGGAGAAAACAATGAAAAAAAAGTGTGCCTGGTCTCTCTCTCTCCCTCTCTCTCTCTCTTCCTCTCTCTCTTTCTCCTTCTGTGTGTGTGTGTGTGTGTGTGTGTGTGTGTGTGTGTGTGTGTGTTTTCACCAGAGGCAGATCTTAAGCAGTCTTGACAGTCGTGTCAAAAACCTGAAAAATGTGGTATCTAAGCATCCGGTCTTTTTTTCCTTGTAACTAGGGACTTCATTCTGAATCGGAGGACCAGAATTCCAATAACTGAAAATTCCCGGAGTTGATTTGTCAATAATTGAGAAGTATTGCTAGTAAGGCATAGCCCTAGGCATCATAGCAACGGAGAGTAAGGAAGGCAGAGGTCAAAGATAAAATTTAGATCAATTTACACACACACACACACACACACACACACACACACACACACAAAGACACACACTGTAATATCCAACTTGCAATCCCTTGTTACATCAAAGATAATCCAGGGTGAAGAATTTAGAGTGAAGAATTTAGATATCCATGAGAGCAGATAATAATTGACAAGAGAGCCCTTTTAATTGATTAGTTAATTCATTAATGTATTTATTTTAATGTATTTATTTTAACTTTTACTTCTTTGAGGACAGATTTGGGAATAAAAATTCCAAAGACAAGAGCATGGTGTGAATATTCATTGCCTAAATCATGCACCTGCTATCTCTTTGGAGAACTGGCTTTTCTCTTGTTTCTGAAAATTTGAACCTCACTGCAAAAGTAAGGCTGAACTGGGCAACAAAACACTGTTAAGAAATCCCACAATTGCACTTAAATCATTTCTGTGAATCATAACTTTTTTTATTAAAAATTTTAATGTTCACATTGTTGCAGATAGACATCCCCCTGTAACCTCCTTTTTCCCACATTAACCTTCCCCCACACCCCGTCCCTTGGTCTTCACAAGTCTATTGTCCATGTCCATGGGGTATACATATCTGGTCTTTAGCTAACACCCTTACCTTCTTTATCCAGTCACCCCTCACCCACCTCCCCTCAGATACTGCCCAGTCTGTTCCTTGTTTCTGGTTCCATTTTGTTCATCGATTATCTTGTTCTTTGGATTTCACAATTCTTTCATCAAGTGATTTTTATATCTTAAATCAAAGCAAGAATAGTAAAGTTGAAAGAAAACTAATATGTATTCTTAAAATCATTTATTTCAGTCACAGTGAGGGGTAAACAAAAATGGATCAACAGTATACTTGATGACTAATTATGTGCTAGCCAGGAAAGAAATTACTGAAAATATTCTATGGTTTAATTTTCACAATAATACATCAGGTAAATTTCATATTATTTTATAAATGTGAAACTGAATTGTGTACAATTTAGACTATTTGATCAAGGCTAATATGCAGTAACACCAGACTTATAATAAAATTTTCACTCATACACACAGTCTTGTCTAACACTGGCAGAGCTGGAGTACTCTAGACAGCAGCACAGGGATACCTGGGATCTGAAACATGAGACTTTGGTAAAAACCACCCTTGTGCCCCTGAAAGCAAAACCTGTTTCATGACACACTGACACAGCTTAGATTTCTCAGTAATTAGTGGAGAAAATATTTATTCAGTTGAGACACTTACATGTTATATACTTAATGACATTTTTCTTCTCACAGTGATACTAACTATGGTATGGTTTTATTACCAGGATTATTTAAAGAAAACAAATCGCCATTCAGATATTTTATTCAAAATTCACTGTGATATTTGGAGAAATTGGACATGAACTCAGAAATGAGGACACAGAACTTACACTCTTAGTACATATTATTTATGATATTTTCTTATTGCCTGGCTGATGTTGCTCAGTGGTTGAGCACTGACCCGTGCACTAAGAGGTCGCTGGTGCAATTCCCAGTCAGTGCACATTTCCTGGACACAAGGTCAATCCCCAGTAGGCGACATGCAAGAGGCAGCCCTTTAATGTTTTTCTCTCATCAACGTTTCTATCTCTCTCTACCTCTCCCTTCCTCTCTCTCTAAGAAATCAATTAAGAAACCCATATTTAATATTTTCTTCTTCACTCCTTGATGAATAACAAACATCATGGGTAAATAGACCTCTGAGAATTCATTCTGTAGTGAATGACTTCTATTCAAGTCTTCAATAAAAGTTGTTGAAAAGCTTTCCTTCATCTTCTCAGTCAGGGGCAGAGGACATGAGATTGTAGAACTTGGTAAAGATGTTACCTCCATACATGTCATTTTTTATGAGGCATTAGTTATTTTCCTTAAGATGATAAAACTGATGAAAGGATTCTCTATGAATGCAAATAAGATTTTGGGAGAAATATGGCACGAGGCAAATTTTACACCCTATTGATGAATGAAGCGTGTTCAAATGGGAAAAAACAAGTGCGGAAAAGATGGTGAGAACAGTGCAGGTGAGCTCAGCTCATTAGATGCACCCATGGCAACAGGCACTCCAGAGAAGTGGGTGAGGGTGTAAGAGGTTTAAGAACCTGGAGAACACAGTGTCATGGAAGCAGGGCATTTCATAGGATTGAAATACGGAAACATTTTCTGAGAAAAGGAACATGAAGAGAATTTATATATGAGAAGCCCATTGTTAGTGATGTTAAAAAATGAGACAGTGCCAGTATCATAGTCTAGGAAAACTCCAACACGACGGGGAGGAACACTTAGGAACAGGGTTAAGGTCATGGGGTCAGAGGAGTCAGAATCCACAAAAGCCTTATATTCAGAATGGTTCTGTAGCCCTATTACCCAGTAGCCATATTTAGGTTGAAATATAGAGCAAACAGGTTGACTATTTTTAATTTGTCTTATAAAATCCATCCTATTGGAGTCAGGGTATTTTTCTTCATATACCCCCATAATCCAAGCATGTTTCTGTGACACATCCACCTCCCAGTAATGCTTCCCTGATGTGATAGAAGGTGATCCCAGGACACCAAAATTTGTTTTATCAGCTAAGATATACAATAAAGGTACAGGTCTCACTTGTCTCCGATCCTCAGAAATGACATTATAGGATTTATCCGTGGGAGGATCCAGGGTCACGTGTACTGTAGAAAAATTACAAGGTTGGGTGAGGAATCTGACATACTTTATGTGTGACATTGTAAGACAGATATTGAGAATAAAATGAGTAGGAAATGGGAAGCATTTGATTTGGTTCTTGAGGAGCAGTACTCACTGCAGGAATATAATATGTATGTGTGTGGTAGAAGGGAAACACGGGTCTTTATACTAGAGACCTAGCAGAAAATGCAAAATTGTAAAAGAAAATGAGGACAAGGTGACTTTGCAATATTGTGATTTCTCCTTACCCCAGTAGCGTCGCACATCTGGGAATTCTGAAATTAGAAAAAAATCCATAACATCAAATATAGGCAAAATGTACTGCATCAACATCTATTTTCTCCCCATATCAGGGAACGACTGGGGTTTATGTAAGTTAGTACATGGAATAGGGGTGAACAAGACAATTGACCACTCCCCATTGAATATGCTCTTATACCCAGCATGTAATATTTGTCTTCCTTTTTCTCTTCTAGCTACACCTAAAACCTGAACTTTAACCCCAACCATAACAAAAATCTCACAGCCACCCATTGCTCTGGCATTCCTCACCATTAAACACTTGTAGCATCCCTCCCAGGTCAGGAGCTTGGAGCACTCTCCTTTGCTTCATGGGGAGAGTTTTTGGCTTCTTCAGAGTGAAGGTCTTACTCCTAGAGACAACAAAATAGATCCACACACCTCTGAATTTTGTCTCTCCAAAACCACTGATTTTATCTACTCACCCCAAGGAGTACTTGAGCCCCCATTCATGGACCCCTGAGACAGGACAGAGTAGACTTCTGACCTTGGCACCAGAAGAAATGTGCTCAATCCACTTTCCCAGTTGACAGCTGCCTGCCCTTGGAAATGCATTGACCTCTCAGAAGTAGTTTATTCCTTTCACAATGATAACTATCCTCTCCCTTTTTAACTCCTAAAAATCATATGAAATTATGTGCCATAGTGAATTTCTTTAAAATGAAAAATTTGGTACCTTAAAATAAATTAGTATAAGGAAAAGTCGTGACATGGATGTAGATTCCCAGCAATATGACAAGAATGTGAGGATGCAGAACATGGATCCTTATGTTTGAGATATATCAAGTGTGGGAATACTGTCTTGGAAGAACCAAGACCTTTAAATTCCACCGCCCAGTAGGAGGCCTCCAGAACTACATCTGAGATTTCAGGTTCTCTGTGAAAAAAATATAACACTTGGAAAATAAGATATTATGAATGCTATACTACTAGTGGTCTGAATTTCATGTGTTTGGAATAGATTAATGCAGCCAAGTAGGTGTTCAAATTTAGACACAAAGATGCTGCCCTTCCATTCGGATTTCAAAAGTGCATGACCAAGATGGATCAACTGTTTTTCCCAGGGGCAAAATACTCCTTGATATTCAAGTCGGCTTTTGGAAAATTAAGAGAACCATATATTCTATTCAGAGAGCAGAAATTTAAATATAAAGGAGTTGTCTCAAATTCTGAGTGCTTAGGAGGTAAAGAAGACATGACATTCCCATCGTCAATACATCACCTGTTACATGTGAAAATCTGAGTTAGATACAGGCATGCTGAATGCATAGAATTTATGAAGTCAGATGGGTCTGATACTGCAACATTTTATGCAAGCCCAAACTTTGCAACTCCCTCAAGTAAATTGCCTACATAAAATCTGGTTCATTGTCAATAGGTATACAATACACAAGCCATATGTGAACAGAAATTTAAGATAAAACTACATCCAAATGTTTCTGCCCTGAGCAATATTTTATTCTTATTAATCACCAGGTATAATTAATGTCTTTAAACACTTTTTACAGCACAAAAAGACCATCTCTGGTCTTCCATACATACCTTTCCATAATGCCTTTCACATCCTAAGGAGGAAAGAGACACTATAAGTCATGAAGTAATAAGCTCTTTCACTAACAAAACTTCAACACATCTCCCCTCTCCACCCCCCGGGTCTGGTGGGAATAGAGATGGTCCTAATGTGAGAGCAGGTTAATATAATGCCTAGTAAAGAAGCCACAGGAACCAGTAACATAAGATATTTACTATGTAACTTATTTTTCAACAAACAAATTACCTCCTCTTTTATACACCTTCGTCCATGTTACCAATATCCACTTGGTCACTATTCTAAACACTACAATATTTACTGTGTTTCAGGGTCTAAAAGTTTATTCCATATTGTTAACTATTTTCAGTCATCAGACCTTCTTTCTCATCACATCCTCTTGTTACATCCTCTTTCTAAAATCAATAAACACATATTTTTTTTAAAGTCACCACAAGGCTGGTAGGAGGGAAAAATGAAAGTGGCTGGTACCACACCCACAGGTGTACATTATGAAATTAGACCCCAACTCAGCCTGAGAGGCAATCCCACACACTGTGCCAAAGGCAATCAAGGCTCAACTACAACAAGAAGGCAACCACAACCCAAACATTAGACACCCCTAGAGAACCTGGTTCAGATGAACACAGAAACTGCACCACTGGGCCCCAAGGGAAGCCTGCTACATAAGGCCACTCTGCCAAGGTTGGGAGATGTGGCAGATATACCAAACACATAGACATAAACATAGGAAGGCAGCCAAATGAGGAGAGAAAGAAACATGTCCCAGATGAAAGATCAGGACAAAATTTCAGAAAAATCACTAAACAAAATGGAGGCAAGCAATCTACCAAATGCAGAATTCTAAACACTGGTTATAAGGATGCTCAATGAACTTAGGGAAAGAATAGATTATCTGACTGAGAACTTCAACAAAGAGAGAAGAAACATAGAAAAGAGATATAAAGCATAAATAACACCCAGTGAGAAATGAAAAATACAAAGAAAAAAGTCTTAAAAATGGCAGGAGAAAAGCAGTTAGTTACCTATAAGGGGGCTCCGTAAGTATCCCAACTAATTCCTCAACTCAAACTTTGCTGGCCAGAAGGGAGTGGCATGATATATTCAAAGTGATGGAAAGCAAAGACCTACAACCTAGATTATTCTACCCAGCAAGGCTATTTATTATGATGATGATTATTATTATTAGCAAGGCTATTATTTAAAATTGAAGGATACATAAAGAGCTTCCTAGATAAGAAAAAGCTCAAGGAGATAATCACCACCAAATCAGTATTATAAGAAAGGTTAAAGAGACTTAAGAAAAAGAGAAAATAAAAAGCAAAAATGTAAATAAGAAAATCATCATGATGTAGAAGCCATGACCAACATTGTCAACCAGCTCCACCTGACAACTAAAGACCCTTTCACCCAATCAATACACACTTCAAATTATTTTCAAATTCACATAAAAATATGGGCATATAATATTTTAGTAGAAAAAGCAAGTCAACACATCTATAAAGTTGAAATGATAAAACATATGCTTTCTGATTAGAAAGGAATTAAATTTAAAACACGCAACAGAAAAAAAAGTAAAAAATCACCAAGTGTTTGTACATTAAACAACACCATTTCAAATATTTCAAAGGTTAAGATAAAAATAACAAAGCAAATTTGAAAAATATTAAATTGATTCAAAATAACAAGGCCTAGTAGGTGGAGGTCAGTGCTTAAGGGCTGACCTATGAACCAAGAGGTCAAGGTTCAATTCCCAGTCAGAGCACACACCAGGGTTGCAGGCTCCATCTCCAGTAGGGGGCATGCAAGTGATAGCTGATCAATGATTGTCTCTCATCATTGATGTTTCTATCTCTCTCTCCCTCTCACTTTCTTTCTGAAATCAATAAAAAAACAAACAGATAAGTAAATAATCCAAAAGTATGGAATATAGCTAAAACAATGCATTTATAACATTAAAAACTAAGAGAAAAAACAGTGAAGTCAGTGGTCAAAATTCCTACTTTAAGCCTTGGGTGGTATAGCTCAGAGGTCAGAGTGTTGTCCCCAGAACCAAAGACTCCCACATTCAATTTCTGGTGAAGGGCATGTACCTGTGTTCCAGGTTTGATCCCTGGCCTCCTTTGGGGTGTGTGTCGAAGGCAACCAATGAATGTGCCCCTCGCTCACTGGATGTTTCTTTCTCTCTCTCTCTTTCTCTTTCTCTCTCTCTCTCTCTCTCTCTCTCTCTCTCTCTCTTCCTCCTTATCTGCTTCCCTCCCTCCCTTTCATTCTCTCTAAACTCTAAAAACCAATGGAAAAAATATTCTAGGGTGAGGATTAACAAAATAAAATAAACAAAAAATTCTCACTCTAATAAACTAGAAAAATAACTAAAAATTAAATACAATGCACACACACAGAAACACATATATGAATGTGCATTTACATATACACACACAAAGGAGATTATATAAGTGAGAGCAGAAACCTGTGATATAGAAAGGTTAAAAATAAAATAAATAAATAAAAGTAAAATTTATTAAAAAAACATCAGCCCTAACCGGTTTGGCTCAGTGGATAGAGCATCGGCCTGCGGACTGAAGGGTCCCAGGTTCATTCCGGTCAAGGGCATGTACCTTGGTTGCAGGCACATCCCCAGTAGGGGGTGTGCAGGAGGCAGCTGATCGATGTTTCTCTCTCATCGATGTTTCTAACTCTCTATCCCTTTCCCTTCCTCTCTGTAAAAAATCAATAAAATATATTTTTTTTAAAAGAAAAGAAAAAGATTAAAAAAAAAAAACACATCAATGAGCTCAGGGTGGTTTGGCTCACTGGATAGAGTGTTGCTCTGTGGCCTGAAGGGTCCTGGGTTCAATTCCGGTCAAAGGCATATGCCCAGGTTGCAGGATCAATCCCCAGTAGTAGTGTGCAGGAGGCAGTCGATCAATGTTTCTCTCTTATCATTGATGTTACTATCTCTCTCTCTTTCTGCCTTCCTCTCTAAAATCAATAAAAATATATTAAAAAACAAACAAACAAAAATCAATGACCTTCACCAGTGATAACTAACTTGGCCAAAAATAATCACAAAATCAGGAATAAAAGGAGCCATTACTGTTAGTATTGTAGAAATGAAAAATATTCTAATAAGTTATAATGATTAATTTCATGCTTATGAATCTGACAACTTAAAACGGACAAATTTCTATAAAGATGTACATTATCCAGAACTGACTCAAGAAATATAAAAAACAAACAAACTGAGAAATACTAATACAAGTAAAAAAAAATATTTTAAACTTTTTCAAAAAACATAAAGGCCCAGAGAGTGACATGGTTTCACTGGTGAATCTACTGAATAATTAAAAAATAAATAATGCCAATTCATCACAATTGTTTATTCAGAAAATTCAGAAAGAAGAATTTCAACTTATTCTAAAAAGAAAAACAACAACTCTTGGATCATGAAGAGATACCTGAATAAAGTTCTAGGCTAGATCACAGATACAGGGGCCTACAGAGTACAAGGAATCTTCTCTTCACAGTCAATTTTATACTTTAATTGATACATTAATAAGAGCCAGATTTTTCCTTGTTCATGCATTCAACAATTCCAATAACCTCTGAAACAGATGCAGGGAAGGGTCACTGCAAGACCAATGGAACCTCAGTGTCAACACCACAAACTACACAGCCACACAGCAGAGAAGGAAACTTAGTCTTAATTTTCCTTAAGTTCAGATGCTGGGGCTTATTTCTAAGTCTCACCTGCAGCATCTCTACTGTTGACCCCTGCAACCGATGCTCCAGATCTGAGTTGAGATCTCTCAGCAACTTCCTCTGCTGGGCCAGCTCACTCTCAGCCTGAGCCAGATCATCGAGATTCTCTGCCGCCTCCTTCTCCAGCCTTTGCAGCTCCTTTTGCTCCTCACTGGCCAGGATTCTTCTCAGTTGTTTAAAATAATCCTGGACACTTTTCAAGTCATTTTCTATTTTATCCTTCAGGAATGAGAAAAAAGACAGGGACTCAGGCTATCAGGCAGAGTGGGATCCAGAAGAGAAAGTATTTGAATTGAATGTTCTCAGAGGGAATAGAAATAGAAACAGAGGAGCATTATTTTGTGACATGCTTATTTCCAGCCCTATCCCTACCAGGGAAAGGATAAAGAATGGCTGATCAATGACTCTGGACATATCAACTGTCAGAAAATAAGAAGGAAGGGAACTCCTTGTAACTAAAACCCAAAGTCCTGCCCAGATTCTTGGTTAATTACCAGAAAGAGTCTCCTCCTACCTTCTTGGAAGTTCTCTCTTCTTCAAGGTCAACATCCAATTTTTCAGCTTTCTGCTGCTCTGCCTTCAGCCTGTCCAGAGCTGCCTGGAGCTTTTCCTATGGGAGAGGAATCACTTCAGAGTTAAAGCTATGGGCTCTCGCCTCATCAGAAGAGAGGTTCAATGAGAAGAAATCAGGTTCATCTCTAAACAAACTGTAAAATGACCATTAGAATCTGTGATTTGAAGGAAACGTGAAGTGGTTATGTGTTCTTTAAGACTCAGATGATAGAAGTCACCATTACTATGTCACGAGAAGACTGGTTCTCTTTGCCCTAGAACAGTGGTTCTCAACCTGTGGGTCGAGACCCCTTTGGGAGTTGAACGACGTTTTCACAGGGGTCACCTAAGACCATTGGAAAACACATATATAATTACATAGTTTTTGTGATTAATCACTATGCTTTAATTATGTTCAATTTGTAACAATGAAAATACATCCTGCATATCAGATATTTACATTATGATTCATAACAGTAGCAAAATTACAGTTATGAAGTAGCAACAAAAATACTTTTATGGTTAGGGGTCACCACAACATGAGGAACTGTATTAAAGGGTCGTGGCATTAGGAAGGTTGAGAACCACTGACCAAGAAGAAAATGCTTGATCCTGTAGTAAGGAAAGAACTTAGGTCTCCATCCACCCAGCTTCCCAGTTACCCCTCATGTCTAAAGAAGTTTGTTTGTGCACCCAACCTCTACCTATTACAGGGATGGCGAACCTTTTGAGCTCGGCATGTCAGCATTTTGAAAAACCCTAACTTAACTCTGGTACTGTGTCACATATAGAAATTTTTTGATTTTCACAACCATAGTAAAACAAAGACTTATATTTTTGATATTTATTTTATATATTTAAATGACATTTAACAAAGAAAAATCAACCAAAAAAATGAGTTCGCATGTCACCTCTGACATGCGTGTCATAGGTTCGCCATCACTGACATATTAGCACAAGGTCTGAAAATACCTACTCTCCTTTAGAGTCTGCTAACAATTTGTAATTGTGTGGAATGTATAGAAATGTCCTTCAGGCCTTGGAAGGTGAACATAGGAAGAAAAGTGATCACAGGCCTCAGGACTGTGGTGGCAAGATAATTACAGTCAAATAAAAAAGTTGAGGTTTCCCATCAAGTGCTATTTTCTGCCCTGTCTTTCCTCCATCCTGGTCTGTTACCTTGTACTCCTGGGCAATCTCCTCTATGAGGAAGGTGTGGTGACCACGGTGCTCTTGGGACCGCTCGCAAAGCCAGCAAATGATCTTCCCATGCTCCTGGCAGAAGAGCAGGAGTTTCTCTCCATGGCGCACACAGAGATCTCTCTTTTGCTCCTCCTGTGGGCTCAACTTGACCTTTCTAAGCGCCTCCACAATGTTGGCCACATGTCGATTACGACGCAGGTTCTCAGGCTGGTAACTGGTCCTGCACACAGGGCAGCAGCTCTCCTGGCCAATCATGGACGCCCTGTTGTTTGTAGTGATGCAGGCTTGGCAAAATGTGTGCCCACAGTCCAGGCTCATGGGTTCTGTTAGGAGCTCCAGGCAGATGGGGCATGTTACCTCCTCCTTTATGTTCACCAGGATTCCTGAAGCCATCACAGCTGGTCCCCTGCTCCTTTCTCTCCTGACCTGAGGCTTCTGTTGCTCACTGACCTCTGCCTGATTGGAAAAATTAAATGGGGGAAGAGTAAGAATGGTAGGAATAAATGTTGCTAATTGTGTAGAAATGAAGGATGGAGCAAGAATGGATGTAAAAGGACAAAAAAGAAAAGGTAGAGAGACAAGGCAAGGAGCATGGTGACCTAGAAAAAAAGACTGTAACAATATTATTTATTTTAATTTTTTTGTTAATCCTCACTTGAGGATTTTTTTTGCCATTGATTTTTAGACAGAGTGGAAGGTAGGGAGGGGAAGAGAAAGAAACACACATACAGAGAGAGAGAGAGAGAGAGAGAGAGAGACATGAATGTGAGAGAAACAGATAAATTGGTTGTTTGCCACAGGTACCCAAATCTTGGTGGTGATCAAACTTGCAACCCTGGTAAATGTCCTTGACCCTTCCATGCACAGGCCAAAACTCTAACCACTGAGAAATTCCAGCCAGGCACATAAGAATTTTAAATACTTTTATTTAACATTTTCATCTGTGCAATGGTTATTATTGCCCTTTACTTTTACTAAACCAAAGGACGACCCTAGGCCTGTTTTACAAAGAAAAGATGTTTGTGTGACCCAGCATCTCTCCAGCTTAATCTTTCCTATAAGAAACACATCTCCAAACCACTTTTGGGTCTGGGCTTTTATAACTGTTCTTTCATCAGGCATTGCTACCCTGGTATCAGTAGGACTCACTTTCATCCTTCAGTTAACAATCTCTTTCCATGTTCCTTTGTCAGAAAGACCTGCTCTGGGTATTGGGCCTAAACCGGTATTCAGACATCCCTCTTGCAATCCAGGACCACTGGCTCCTATCCTCTCATCTGCCTCCTGCCTGATCGCCCCTAACCACTCTGCCTGCCTGCCTGCCTGATGCCCCTAACTCATCCCTGCCAGCCTGATCCCCCCTAACTGCTCTCTCCTGCCAGCCTGATCACCCCTAAGTGCTCTCCCCTGCTGGCCTGATCATCCCTAAGAGCTCTCCCCTGGCAGCCTAATAGCCCCTAACCACTCTGCCTTGGCCCCCACCACTGTGGCTTTGTCTGGAAGGTCATCTGGAAGGACATCCAGAATATGTCTGATCTATCAGTTCTAATTAGCATATTACCTTTTATTAGTATAGATAATATGTGACAATGTGTTTGTGTAAATGGCATGAGGAAACCCTATATCAGATGTGTACATAAAGTTAGTGAGTGACTTACAGAGACCATTTATTTTCAGTACAGAGTTGCAATGATCCTAATGTATTCAGGGTCCCCCTTCCTACCTTACAGGGTTAATTAAAGACAAAATAGGTAACTTAAGAGGTTCTGGGGAGTCTTGTTGGATAAATAGTAAAATTTCATGTTTGCCTGGAAATATGCCAAGGATATTGACAGGAGCCTAATGGTGTGTATGTATATTGATGATGGGGAGGGAGATAGCATAAAGATACTCATAGGATCACACAAGTCACATATCTGAAAAAATAGAAACACAAATGAAGTAAATATCAATCTTGCAAAAGAAATCTCAAAATATTAGGCAAGATCATTCAACAAATTTTTCATCACTATGAATTACATTCTAACAACAAAACTAATACCCACAAACACAGAAATGAGTCTAAACGAAGAGTTTAAACTACTGTGACCCTGACATCCACCTGGAAAGTAACAGTAATTAAATTATATATATACTAGAGGCCCGGTGCACAAAAATTTGTGCACTCGGGGGGTGGGGAAGGGGGTCCCTGAGCCCATCCTGTGCCCTCTCGCAGTCTGGGACCCCTCAGGAGATAATGACCTGCTGGCTTAGGCCTGCTCCCGGGTGGCAGAGGGCACGCCCAATCCCTAGGTACAGCCCCTGGTTGGGCTCAGAGCAGGGCCGATCAGGGGGTTGAGGAGCTCCCCCTGTCACGCATAGAGCAGGGCTGATCGGGAGGTTGCGATGCCACCCCTAGTCAAGCTCAGGGTAGGGCCGATAGGGGAGTTGGGGCACCGCCCCCTGTCATGCACAGAGCAGGGCCCATCAGGGGGTGGGGGCTCCATACCCTGTCACACACAGAGCAGGGTGGATCAGGGGGTTGGGGCGCTACCACTGTGACACTCAGGGCAGGGCCGATGGGGAGGTTATGGCTCTACCCCGTCACACACAGAGCAGGGCCCGTGGGGGGGGCTGGGGCGCCGCCCTCTATCACCCACAGAGCAGGGCCGATCAGGGGCTTGGGGCGCTGCACCCTGTCACACACAGAGTAGGGCCGATCAGGGGGTTAGGGCGCTGCACCCTGTCACACACAGAGCCACAGGGCGGTCAGGGGGTTGGGGAGCTCCCCCCTATCAGGCACAGAGCAGGGCTGATCAGGGGGTTGGGGCGCCTTCCCTTGTCACGAACAGAGCAGGGCGGATGGGGAGGTTGTGGCCCCGCCCCCTGTCACACACAGAGCCGCAGGGCGATCAGGGGGTTTGGGCGCTGCCCCCTGTCACGCTGATCCCGGTGCCGGGAGGCATATTACCCTTTTACTATATAGAATAGAGGCTTGGTGCACGGGTGAGGGCCGGCTGGTTTGCCCTGAAGGGTGTCCTGGATCAGGGTGGGGGTCCCCACTGGGGTGCCTGGCAAGTCTAGGTGAGGGGCTGAGATCCGTTTTCCGGCTATCGGGTGACTGAAGCTCCCAACCGCTCATTTTTTTCTTTTTCTTTTTTTATTCTGGGCCAGCTTTAGCTCTGAGGCCTCGGCTGCTGAAAGCCGGTTTCTGGCCTTTGTTTTTCCTTCTGTATTTGATACAATGTTGCGGTCAGGCTGGCTGAAGCCCGGCTGACTAAAGCTGGTTTCTGGGGTTTTGTTTAGCTTCTATATTTGCAACATAGTTGCGTAGAGTTGCAGCAGAGAGGCCGGCAAGTCAGGTGGGGAACATTGGAGTCCGCAGTCACTGGAGCAAGCAAGCCTCCCTGTTCGCTTCAGTGCATGGCTGCCGGCCACCATCTTGGCTGACAGTTAATTTGCATAAGGATATGCTGATTAGCCAATGGGAAGGGTAGTGGTCGTACACTAATTACCATGTTTCTCTTTTATTAGTATATATATATATATATATATATATATATATATATACAAACTGATGTGAAAAACACTACTAGAGAGATGTGCGTGTTGTTGGGAAATCAAATTATTGGGACATATAAAGGGTTGTCCAGAAATTCAAACCTAAATACCTAAGGTTTGAACTGAAACCTGAGGAAGATAAAGGAAATAAGGTATATGGGAGAGAAAAGAAAATTATTAGGTAAAGGAAATGACCCGTTCATTGAAGATGCACCACATTGTCTGAGATGGAAAATGCCAGTGTGGCTCATGTGAGAAAACTGCTAGGCCTTTGGCATCACATGAGCCTGCAGTGACTTATGGCAATTAGTGAATTATGTAACATTTAGGAACACTTTGCCAAGAGCAAAAGTAATCACCAGTGTTGGGCTGTGGAGTAATCGATGGATCCAGTGGGGAATTGGGGAGATGAGTAGGATGCACATACAGTTGCCCAGGGGAGAGATGATAGCTTTCAGGACAAGAAGATGAAGGACATGGAAAGCAGGTGATGAGTGAGACATAGGATGAGGTAAGAAGAAAAGATTGGACGTTATGTTAGATTATGGAGAACAAAAGGTTAACATCAGGCCTGGGTTCTTTCTTCCTAGAAAGGTAATATTGGATAAGTTTTCTAATAAGTTTTTCTTTTGTTTTTCTTGTCTGGAAACCTCATGAGGCCGTAATAAAGTGGAAGATCAGCTTCCTTACAAAGGCCAGATTGTTGATAGCAAAATTAGCCTGATGTGGAAAGTGCATTTGGATTCAGGAGGATTTCATATAGACCTCAAATGCCAGTTAATATGCTTGAATTTCATTTTTCATTAAGAGGATTGTGAGTTTTATAACCACCCATGTATCTTTATGGCCCTTGGATGCTATGCCTATGAGGTTTCACAAGATAATTTGCACTCTGTAGCTCTAGGCTTACATAAACTTTCGTGGTTTCACACATATCTACTAAGTCTGGCTTCTTAAAAGGCTGAGATAACAGAAACAAAGTACCTTCCATAGCACTGTGAAGACCACCACTAATAGCTTCCCTAAGGCAGCCAATGTCAGCATGTCCTGCCTCCTGTTCTGTATCCTCAGCTCAGCTAAGTGACCCTGACAGCTTATATCTCACAGGTCACAAGATGGTAATGACCATCCTAATTGGAGATGATACTAGTGGTCAGTCAAAGAGGTGTGGACAAAAAGGACCACATGCTAACCTGAATAGCTCAGGAAAAGCCTGTGTAGTAGCCTTGCAAATTCAGAGACCTAAAGTAACCACAGAGGATGGTCTGAAATTAAAAGTTTTTAAACTGAAAGAGCAGTTTTGGTGGTTAGTCATATCCAAGGCTGGCATTTTTGCCTGACAAAGTCAATCTTTACTTTAACTGAGCCTGTCTAGTGTCCTTTTGCATCTACAATAACATATAGTTGGAATGCCAAGGTAATTTTCCTTTTTGTCTGGACCCCTCAAAGCACCACTGTACAAAGACCACAAATACCCTCATTGTTATTGAGTTGATTGTTGACTTAACTATCCTACACCTACATAAGTAAAAGAAGAATGTGTCTATCATTTTACTTTTGATCCAATCCCAAAGGTTCCATCCCCTCCCCCCGTTGCTTTCTTCTGCCTCAGCCTCCCCAATCTATCACCAATGGATTTCATGTAACACACTTACATCTTTTCTACTGATTCTAATGTATAATACGAGGTGCAAAACTGCCATTCTCTGGAGCATTATGTCAATCCATTGAGAATCTGCTTCCAGCCATTGTGGATAGTTGGGCTTAAATAAACACACAAAACTTCTTCACGGGTTTAAATATTTCTTTCTTTTTTGGGGGTTGAAGGGAGAGCCCTGAGGGAGGGGGGAGGGGGGAGCGGTTTGAATGTTTCTTAAGTTGCCAGAGGGTATCACAGAGTGGTAACACAGTGATTCTCATTCTCCCTCCTGGACTCGGTATGGCCCTGTGGCTACAGTCTCGGATCAGGAGCTCTCTCAGGATCTTCAAGTAAATGGGACTATGAACCAAAAATGAAAGAAAAGATCTTAGTAGATATTCATGTCTTGATGGTTGCCAAAGTTTGATGGTAAAAGAAAGATCTGAGAATCAGTTAGTAAATTTTCCCTTTGCTCTGTTCTCTGAAGGAAAATGTATAAAGGCTGCATGGAGAGAAATTTAGACCCACTAACACTGTCTCCTAGTGCCACGGTCATCATACATGAAGGGAACCTGATAAGGAATGAGGCTGAAGGAGAACAGACGTGTATTCCAGCTACTGCTCCAGATACTGAAAACAGCCCAGAGGCCACATGCAGTTAAGCTCCTGGCTGCAGGAACAGGGATAGACATTGATTCAGGGTAGATAACATTTCATATCTATCCCTGGTTTATGATTCCAGCATTTATGATCCAAACTTAGGGTAGGAGTCTCCAAAAATTTTGCATCTCATCCAAGATCCAACCAATTCTGAGACCGACCAGGAGCCTGTAGAGGAGGGAGGAGCAGGGTATGCATTATGCCTTGGGGCTGCAGGATTTATTTTTATGGTGGGGCTACAGGGAGCTAAGGTCAAAGCAGCTGCTGCCACAGGACACAGAAGATGAAAGTGCAGAGGAGCTTGAGTCCTCACACATGGAGTCTGACCAAGCACTACCTAAGCAGTGACCAGGGCTGCACAGCAGGCAGGCAGATAGATATGGGAACAGGAGTGGTGTCTGCACTGGAAGGATAACACACATGTGAAGCCCATCCTTGAGGACTTAGGGGTTTGTGCCCCACAAGAGGCTCTCTGGGGACCTGCACCAGAAACCTGAACCCACAGAGTGTCTGCCTTCAGAAAGGAATAAGGCTTGTGCCCAGAGAACCCTAGGGGTGTAGGGTACAGGTAATTCCTCTTTGAAAGGGCAGGTGCACAGGACTTAAAGGTTTTATAGGACTTGCTCCATGACCCTTGCAAAATTAGAGGTTTGAGAAGTGCCTAGACCATGTGAAAAGGAAATCTTTCTCCTGCAGGAGGAGTGGAAGCCTGTTGGACTCTCACTTGATGCTCAGACCTGGGGAATGGAGGCTACTTGATGTTCCACCCCCTACCTCATGAGAGCAGGGTGCACCTCTATCTAAACAGTCGGTGCTCCGGGGTGTGCCTGCCCACCCCATTCCCCTGCTGCAGCCCCACCCACAGAGCTGACTGTGGAGTGCTAGGCCCCAACCCCGTCCCAGGGGCATCACCCCTGCTCCACCTGCCTGACTCTACTGGATTGGCCTCTGCCAGCTACCAAGGTCCCCTCCCCAGCTATTGGGCCAGGGCAGCCCTCACAGAGGAGCCCCTTGAGTCCCAGGCTCCTGTTGTGGGGGTGGGAGAGGTGGCATTTTCCTGCCCAGAGGTCTGAAATAATGAAAGACAAGGTTGTTGGCAGACTAGCACCCTCCATCCCCCACCTGCCACCTCACCCCGGCCCCTCTCCCCTGCTCACCCCAGGCAAGGCTCAGAGAACAGAGAAAAACTCACCTCCAATCTTCCAGGGAAAAAGGCCTATTCAGTTGTTCTGGAGTCTCAGCCTGAGGGGCAGAAGTGGTGATAATTCACTCTCCAAACCAGCTGCAGGAGGAGCAGAGTGGAAATGAAAGTTAAATTCTTAGGGGCCGGGCAGGAAAGGGAAAATATCTATGGACCAATGAGAGGCCTTCACAAAGACCTCAGGGGAATACCAGCCCTTTGTGCCTTAGCTCAGAAGGACCAGTGACTACATTCTTAATCCTATCTCAGTTCTGCTCCCTGAAGCTGTTCTCATGGCTCTCACAGTAATTCATCCTCTGGAGAACTAGGCTGACCTGAGCTGTGAATGTCACACACATCACCCTCATCTTGTTCCCTTAGGGATGAGGTGTCATGAGGAGGGAATGAAATACCTCCTTCACCACAGGGAGGACCCTCCCTGAAGGCCCACCTGAGGCAGTGATCCTGGCAGCTCTCCCCTGTCCTGTACCTACCAGCTAAGCTAAGTGATCCTGGCCAACTTGTGACCTGGCCGTCCTGTGAGAGGGAACGGCTGCCCAAATCTGAAGTTACCTCAGGTGGTCAGCCAGGGGGCGATCACAGATGGTAGCACCGTGATCGTGATGCTGGCTTTCAGAACCTGGATTCAATAAGGACAAGATGATACTTTTCCTAAATGAACTACACAGATCAAACTACATGAAGTGTCATTTTTGGGCAATGTTTTCTAATACCATTTAGCATATAATCTTTATAGTCTTAACATAATAGAAATGAAACAGGAAAGTAATTGTGATGAGTAATTTTATGAGTCAGCATTACTGTCCACTAGTTGCCCAGATTAAACTTTGTTTCTGGGTGTGTCCGTGAGGGTGTTTTTTCCAGGTGAGATTAGCCTTTGGATCTTCGGTCACAATAAATTAGATTAAAGGTCTAAGCAGAACAAAGAGGCAGAGGAAGAAAGAAAGAAGGTGTTCCTTTTGCTTCCTGCCTACCTGCTTGTGTGGGGATATAGGTTTTCTTCTGCCCTTGGGCTAGAACTTACTCCATTGACTACCCTGGTTCTCAAGCTGTTGAACTTGGACTAAACTGCACCACCAGCTTTCCTGTGTCTCCAGTTTGTAAAAGGCAGAACCATGAACTAGTCAAACTATAATCACATGAGCCAATTATTGGTAATCAGTTACTGTCACATATATGAAGGATATATCTTTAATATTGGTTCTGTTTCTCAGGATAACCCTGACTAATAGAGTATGAAACAATTCTAAAATCATGTGTTAAGTGGCACAGGTGAAATGTGATAATGATAATGGTGATGACTCTGGTGAACAGTGCAGTTTCAAAACATGTGTGCCTAAAAATGGCTGAGGGTAGTTAAGGGTACAAGGAGAATTTTTTAGAGGTGAAAAGGCACAAAGTCATCCTTAATTCAATATGATCAAGACAGATAAGGAAAGGGCGGGGGGTTGAGGGGGGAGAAAAAGAGAAGGAGAGAACAAGAACAATTTGAGGTTTTTGCAGCAGCTAGAAAGTGTCAGAAGAACATCTTCAAAAGAGAGATCCAGAGGGAGAAATCCCAAGTTGTACATAAGAACTCCGATCAAATCTCTGAACTACACATGTTGGAGATAGATGACAAGCAGCCCAATTAGGGTTAATGGGACTGATCACTGATTTTAGCTCCTGCAAAAATGCAGGGGAGATTTTAGAATCTGAGTTCAATCAAGTTAACATACTGAAAACGAATAAACAAAGAATAATATTCTTCAGAAAATGAAACAGAATCCTGAGTCTCTACACCTCTTTCACAATTTCCCTGAGGGAGTTTTAGATGCAATCTAAACGTATTCAACATACAAAAAAGTAGAGGACATGACCCATCTACACTAATAATAGAGAAACATGCAAATTGACAGTCCGTCCGCTATGCCCACCAGCCAATCAGAGTAATATGCAAATTAACCCAACAAAGATGGTGGTTAATTTACATCACAGGTGCAGAGAGAAGACTGAAGACAGCGTAGAAGGAAGTCAAGAGTTGCAGAAGGGAGCGAAGCGGTGGAGAAGGGAACGGAGCCGAGGCAGCAGAGATGGAAGCGAGTGAGACAGCAGAGATGGGAGGGAGCGAAGCAGCGGAGATGGGAGAGAGCGAAGCGGCAGACAAGGGAGGGAGCCGAGGCAGCGGAGAAGGGAGGGAGTGAGGTAGCGGAGACGGGAGGGAGTGAAGTGGTGGAGACGGGAGGGAGTGAGGCAGCAGAGAACGGAGCGAAGCCTCGGCGGGCTTCTCTCCCTTCTCTGCTTCACTCTGGCCTCAGGAAGCCCTATTCTTGCAGAAATAGGCCTGAGGAAGCCCAATTCTTGCAGGAATCTTCCTGCACCGGGCCACTAGTATTCAACAGAAAAGGCGATCAATGGAGACCAGCTCTGAAATAAGCCAGATGTTGTATTTAGTAAACAAGGGCTTCATAGCAGCTATTATTTCTGGGGTGAAAGATGTAGAAGAAAATATACTTATAATCATCACCAAAATGTCAGAAATCAAATAGAAGTAGTTTTTGTTTTTAATTTAAATACTAAAACTACAATCAGTCAGAAAACAAATCCAGGTTTGACTTATAAAATATTTGGAATCACAACATAAAGACTAACTAAAGTTAAAAGTAGATTAATAGAAATTATCCAATTTGAAAATTATGGACATGTCCTCAATAATCTGTAAGAAATATCAAAGTAATAACAAAGACTTAAGCCACAGCACAACTAGTAAAATACAGCAATAATAAAATATAAAGTTTGCATGGAGAGGAATTTAGACCCACTAACACTGTCTACTAGTGTCATGTTCATCATACATGAAAGAAACCTGATAAGGAATGAGACTGAAGGAGAATACAAATGTATTCCAGCTAGTGGTCCAGATACTGAAAACAGCCCAGAGGCCACATGCAATTAGAACTGGCCGCAGAGACTGTGGTCCAGATCAGGCTCTGATGAACAGCAAGATCAGATATAGATATTGTATCAGCGTAGATATCATTTAATATCTACCCCTGTTTTATGTCTCCAGCATAATCCAAACCTGGGGTAGGAACCTCCAATTATTTTGCATCTCATCCAAGATCCAACCCATCCTGAGACCCACCAGGAGCCTATAGAGGAGGGAGGAGCACAGCATGCATTCTGCCTTGAGGCTGCAGAATTTATTTTTATGGTGAGGCTACAAGGAGCTAAGGTCAAAGCAGCTGCTGTCACAGGACACAGAAGAGGAAAGTGCAGAGGAGCTTGAGTCCTCACATATGGAGTTTGACCCCACTGCTACCTAAGCAGTGATCAGGGCTCCACAGCAGGCAGGGAGATAAATATGGGAACGTGAATGATGTGTGCACTGGAAGGATATCACAAATGTGAAGCCCAACCTTGAGGACTTGGGGGTTTGTAACCCACATCAGGCTCCCCGCAGACCTGCACAGAGTCCTGCCTTCAAAAACCCACCAAGTTTTTATTATCCCCAGGAGCACTTTGGTGGTGTAGGGCACAGGAGATTCTTCTCTTAAAGGGCTCCTGCAGAGGACCTAATGGTCTTATGGGACTTTCCCAGGACCCATGCAAAAGCAGAGGTTTGAGAAGTGCCCTAGACCATGTGTGAAGGAGATCCCTCTCCTGAGGAGTGGAAGCCTATTGGACTCACCTGAGTCAGAGACTCAGGGGCTGGGGCAACACTGATGCTCCACCCCCTACCTTATGAGAGCAGGGCTGCATCTCCCTCTAACCCAGTGGTTCTCAACATGTGGGTCGAGAGCCCTTTGGGGGTTGAACGACCCTTTCACAGGGGTTGCCTAAGACCATCCTGCATATCAGATATTTACATTACGATTCATAACAGTAGCAAAATTACAGTTATGAAGTAGCAACGAAAATAATTTTATGGTTGGGAGGAACTGTATTTAAAGGGCCAGAAGGTTGAGAACCACTGCACTGGTCAAAGCTCCTGGGTGCACCAGCCCTATCCCCATGCTGCAGCTCCAATGGCCAAAGCTGACTGGGGAGTTCCAGGCCCCCATCCTCTCCCAGGGTTATCATCCCTGCCTCACCTTTGTGATTCTACTGGAGTGGCCTCTGCCAGCCACCACAGCTCTGGCCCAGCCATTGGGCCAGGGCAGCCCTCACAGGGGAGCTCCTTGAGCCCAAGGATCTAGTGGCAGAGATGGGAGGGGCTGAATTTCCCTGCCCCAAGGTCTGAAACAGTGTTGGGTAGACTAGCACCCCCCAGGCACAGCTCAGAGAGCAGAGTGAAACTCACCCCAATTCTTCCAGGGAAGAAAGGCCTATTCACTTGTTCTGGAGTTTCAGCTATGTGAGGATCAGGATTCACTCTCCAAACCAGAGACCTGGCACAGAGTGAAAATGAAAGTTAAATTCTTAGGGGAGGAGCAAGAAAGGAGATAATCTGTAGACCAATGGGAGGCCTTCATAAGGACCTCAGATAAATAGCAACCTTGTTCCTTAACTCAGAGAGGCCAGTGACTACATTCTTAAACCTACCTTAGTTCTGCTTCCTGTAGCTGTTCTCATGGCTCTCAAAGTAATTCATCCTCTGGAAAACTAGGCTGACCTGAGCTGTGACTGTCACACACGTCACCCTCATCTTGTTCCCTTAGGGATGAGGTGTCATGAGGAGGGAATGAAATACCTCCTTTACCACAGGGAGGACCCTCCCTGAAGGCCCACCTGAGGCAGTGATCCTGGCAGCTCTCCCCTGTCCTGTCCCTACCAGCTAAGCCAAGTGACCCTGGCCAACTTGTGTCCTGGCCGTCCTGTGAGAGGAAACGGCTGCCCAAATCTGAAGTTACCTCAGGTGGTCAGCCAGGGGGCTATCAGAGTGGTAGCACCGTGATGCTGGCTTTCAGAACCTGGATTCAATAAGGACAAGATGTCACTTTTCCTAAATGGACTGCACAGATCAAACTATGTGATGAATCATCTGATGGGCAAAGTTTTCTAATACCATTTAACATATAATCTTTATGGCCTTGACATAATAAACATGAAACAATAAAGTAATTGTGATGAACAATTTTATGAGTCAGTGTGACTGTTCAATGGTTGCCCAGATTAAACATTATTTCTGAGTGTGTCTGTGAGGGTGTTGTTTCCAGATGAAATTAGTATTTGGATCTTTGGTCACAATAAATTAAAATAAAGGTCTAAGCAGAACAAAGAGACAGAGGAAGAAAGAGAGAAGGTGTCCTTTTGTTTCCTGCCTACCTGCTTGTGTGGGGTATAGGTTTTCTCCTGCCCTTAGACTAGTAGGACTTACACCATTGATTACCCTGGTTCTCAAGCTGTAGACCGGGACTAAACTACACCACCAGCTTTCCTGGGTCTCCAGTTTATAAAACACAGGGCCATGAACTAGTCAAACACTGTAATCACATGAGCTAATTACTGGTAATCAGTCACTTTCACATATATGAGGGATATATCTATAATATTGGTTCTGTTTCTCAGGAGAACCCTGACTAATAGAGTATGAAACAATTCTAAAACATGTAAATGGCACAGGTGAGATGTGATCATGGTAATGGTAATATCTCGTGTGAAAGTGCAATTTCAAAACATGTGTGCCTAAATATAGCTTAGGGCAGTTAAGTGTTCAAGGAGAATGTTTTAGAGGTAAAAACTGCCGGAGTCCATTCATTGTCTTCACTAGCTGAGTTTAGACAGAGACCCCCAAAAGCTAGTAACCTTTGAAGTCCTAGCAAAGGTCAGAACTGCACCACCCAGTTAATCTAAGAACCACCCAGTTAATTTAGGTAATAACAGCTGAAGCATCCCCACCTTAGTTCCCTTAATTCCTTAGATACTTGTGTAGATCCTTGTTGATTATTGTTGATCAGATATTCTGCCTATTTCTAGAAATTGTCTACCAATGAGCTAATCCATGTGTCATTCAAACCTCCTTACCCTAGGGCTACCCCAGACAAACCTCCTTACCCTAGGGCTACCCCAGATCAAATAAAAGCTTGGAGCAGCCTGAGCATCAGTGGAAGTCCTTCCGGACTTGCCCGCCTGGTCCCCCAATATTGCAAAATTATCTCGTGTCTTTTTCTCTCATTTGTTGTGCGGCTCCTCTTTCAGGTACTGAACCCTACTCGACAACTTATGAGTGTTACTTGACAAAAAACGCCCAAAGTCATCCTCAATTCAGTACAAGCAAGTAAGAAAAGGAGAAGCCAGAGAAGAGACAGAGAGAGATTTGACTGAGTGAGTCAGTCTGGGTGCAGCTATGTCTTTAACAGGAGAGATAGTTAAATAAATGAATGAAGAGACACCCTTACTTTAATTCTTAAGATGTTGTTGTCATGACACTTCTGGTATTTTTTCAGATTATTTTTTCAGATTATTAACACCAATCAAGCCTCTCATTATGCTGTATAAAATGTTGTAAACATGTCCCTTATGGAAATACTTCCCATGTGCTCCTCCTGCTCCTGATCTCACAGCTTTGTTTCTGGGTGACAGAGATGGCCCAAGAATAAGATGAGCAAGGTTAGTGATTTTTCAGGAATTATGGTAGAGCTGTGGGTGTAAACTTGGAAATCTTGTGGGACTAGTGAATATAACAGAAGCTGCTGGGGTCCAATCCCAGCGGGTCCAGGGGTCCCCAAAGGTGTGGACGGAGTCGGCGAAGAAGGAATGACACGAGGACAGCCTTCAGTTGATCAGCAGCCTAGTCAGGACCTTTAGCCAGGATCTCCAGCCAAAGTTCTGGTCGGAGTTCTGGTTAGGAACTGATGAGGATCTGATGTTTATTGTCTTGTTACATCCGTATTTATACCAGCCGATTTTAATCCTGTCAATTTCTATTACAAAGGTTAGGGCGTTTCTTATCTCCATTCCAGGGAGTAAAGATTATGTAGCTTAACTACCCGCCTGGCACTTAATTAAGGGGTTGTATCCCCTCCCTAACCTCAGAGAAAAATCCCCACCTGGGGAAACAACCTTTCTCAGAGAGGTGACCTTGGTTAAAACACATGGCGCTAAGGAGAGCAAACATATTAAGAACAATATGCTATATATGCCAGGTCCCTTGAAACATATGCTGTGCAGATGTTTCTTTCCTGCAGCGACTGTGTCAAGCAGCAAGGATGGACCGGCTTCCGGCAAGAAGCTACAGAGCAGGGCAGCTGTCACACCATTAAGGCTCACGAACCCTGAGAGGACAGTGTGCTAGAATTTATGTGAACAGCCTGCTGAAATCCTACATCATTACCCTTAGAGGAGTTAGGCAATGAAGCTTCAAAGAACTCTGTGACTTCCTGTTTTCTTTCCCAAAGTACCTCTCTCTTCCCTGAGCAGTGCTGGGCTTAGCTCTTTTCTCTACAGGTCTTTGCAAACTGGTCTGAAAGCCTGGGCTTGTGGTCCATGGACACTCCATAGGCTCCTTCTCTAGGGCTTTCTTGCTAGGATTTTTCAGGAAGTTGTCTCTGAAACAAGGATTCTGCCTAAAGGTCAGAACTCATTTAGTATATCCTGATTAGAAAATGAAAATGCATAAGTGCAAGGCAATAGGGACACTGCAGTGGGAGCCTAGAGTTATACTTTCATTAGTACTCTTATGCACACCCCAGCTTGCATCCACAACTATAAGTTTCATGAAATCAGGTAAGTACTTTTTCTATTTTGTTACTTATTTCCTTAGATCTATTAGAAGGTATTGCATATGAAGAGGAATATATATATATATATAAATTTTAACTGAATTGAGCTTTGTATGATAAATTATGTTTCTATTATACCATTCTTACTGCAAACATTATTACTGTGTCACATAATGAAATTCAGCTATTCTCCTGCATTATTAACATGCTAGAGGCCAGGTGCACGAAATTCATGCATGCGTGTGTGTGTGTGTGTGTGTGTGTGTGTGTGTGTGTGTGTGTCCCTCAGCCCAGCCTGCACCCTCTCCAATCTGGGACATCCCTCTCACAATCCAGGACTGCTGGCTCCCAACTGCTCGCTGGCCGGCCTGCCTTATTGCCCCTAACCACTCCCCTGAAAGCCTGATCAATGCCTAACTGCTCCCATGCTGGCCTGATTGTCCTCAACTGCCCTCCCCTGTTGGCTTGGTTGCCCCCCAATGCTTTCTCCTGCAGGCCTGGTCACCCCTAACTTCCCTCCCTTGCCAGGCCTGGTTCCCCCCAACTGCCCTCCTCTGCCAGCCTGGTCGACCCCAACTGCTTTCCCCTGCAGGCCTGGTTGCCCCCAACTGCCCTCCTCTGCAGGCCTGGTTCCCCCCAACTGCCCTCCTCTGCCAGCCTGGTCACCCCTAACTTCCCTCCCCTGCAGGCCTGATCACCCACAACTGCCCTCCCCTGCAGGCCATCTTTGACCACATGAGGGCGGCCATTTTTTGTCTTAGAATGATGGTCAATTTGCATATTACTATTTTATTACATAGGATTTATAATTCTCCTTTGACAATTTTTAACATCTATTTTTTATGAGAGAGAGAAAGAGAGAGAGAGAGAGAGAGAATAACATGAAAGCACAGAGTGAAAAGGGTAGTCACAATCTACAGTATACTAGGCACTTGGAAGAAGGAAACAGTATTGGAGGTTTTTGATATTTTTATGATCCTTTTTTGAAGGTAGACCTCAATCGACAGCAACATACAGTGTCATGGTTGGAAGACCAAGAACAATTTGAGGTTTTTGCAGCAGCTAGAAAGTGTCAGAAGAACATCTTCAAAAGAGAGATCCAGAGGGAGAAATCCCAAGTTGCACAAAAGAACTCTGGTCAAATCTCTGAACTAGACATACTGGAGATAGATGACAAGCAGCCCAATTAGGGTTAATGGGACTGATCACTCATTTTAGCTTCTGCAAAATGCAGTGGAGAATTTAGAATCTGAGTTAAATCAAGTTAACATACTGAAACTCAATAAACAAACAAAGAATAATATTCTTCAGAAAATGAAACAGAATCCTGAGTCTCTACACCTCTTTCACAATTTCCCTGAGGGAGTTTTAGATGCAATCTGAAATTATTCAACATACAAAAAAGTAGAGGACATGGCCCATATTCAATAGAAAAGGTGATCAATGAAATCCAACTCTGAAATAAGCCAGATGTTGTATTTAGTAAACAAGGACTTCATAGCAGCTATTATTTCTGGGGTGAAAGATGTAGAAGAAAATATACTTATAATCATCACCAAAATGTCAGAAATCAAATAGAAATAGTTTTTATTTTTAATTCAAATACTAAAACTACAATCATTCAGAAAACAAATCCAGGTTTGGCTTATAAAATATTTGGAATCACAACATAAAGACTAACTAAAATTAAAAGTAGATTAATAGAAATTATCCAATCTGAA